GTTGTATGCCTGTACGGATATAGGCTAGCTCTTAGGTTAGATGGAAAACACGGAGTCGGAGTTCCGGAGTCGGAGCCCCGGAGTCGGAGTCCCGGAGTCGGAGTCCCGGAGTCTGACGTCATAAAAATATGGAAAACACGGAGTCATATGGAAAACACGGAGTCATATGGAAAACATGCCTGTACGGATATAGGCTAGCTCTTAGGTTAGATGGAAAACACGGAGTCGGAGTTCCGGAGTCGGAGCCCCGGAGTCGGAGTCCCGGAGTCGGAGTCACCGGAGTCTGACGTCATAAAAATATGGAAAACACGGAGTCATATGGAAAACACGGAGTCCCGGAGTCGGAGTCCCGGAGTCTGACGTCATAAAAATATGGAAAACACGGAGTCATATGGAAAACACGGAGTCATATGGAAAACACGGAGTCTGACGTCAGAGAAAAATATGGAAAACACGGAGTCATATGGAAAACATGGAGTCTGACGTCATAAAAATATGGAAAACACGGAGTCATATGGAAAACACGGAGTCTGACGTCATAAAAATATGGAAAACACGGAGTCATATGAAAAACACGGAGTCTGACGTCAGAGAAAAATATGGAAAACACGGAGTCATATGGAAAACACGGAGTCTGACGTCAGAGAAAAATATGGAAAACACGGAGTCATATGGAAAACACGGAGTCTGACGTATTGTCAGCGTGAAATATGGAAAATAGTAATTAATTGTCAGCGTGAAATATGGAAAATAGTAATTAAATAATATATAATTTATGCGAATATAAACAAACGGACAAATTTATAATATAACGAATTGGAAATTTTCTGCACTAATTCTGGTATTTCTCTATTAAAAATGTCGTGAAAATATGGATTATTTATTTTTAAATACAATCAAGCAAATAAAATTGTTTCTCTTGTCGTGTGACTTGTTCAGTTGTACAATATTTGAAGTGATTTTAATGCGGATTTTGTTCACCTCGCATTGGTATGTTGATAAAAATATAGTTTATATACTTAATACTGCTAGAATATTTCATAGTCGATTTACATGTAATATTTATAACACACAAAATCTTGACACAAAACAGATATGCTGCTTGGAAACAGCGTGCAATATTGTTATTTACTAATAAATAGATGCAGCCAGCCAATACACAAATCCGTGCAGTATATTAATGGCATTAAAAAAGTTTTAGGTGTCCAAACAAAATACCTGCACTATAGTGGTAAGTCCATACCAAGTTAATATCTCTAACATATAAGTTTTAGGTTTTTATATATCAAGCCATTGATATTTGAGTGATCAAGATAGGTATTTATAACTGACCATTTGTTCCAGGCTTAATTGCATGATACCATTGTAAAATCGTCTGGCGTTAGGCAGAGTAAAATATAAAGTAGGTTACATCTGGGCACATATATTGCCACTTATAATTGAAGGGTTAATATAGAAATTTTGTATTTCATAAAGTATTACAATGCTTTTGAAAGGGATAATTTTAAGTGAAACCCACCTGTTGTGGACTTAAAAGTAAAATTGTGAACTGATGATGCAGAACCACTGGTAGCTAGGGATTGTGGGGCACTAAATTTACTGTTTTCGTAGATTTTTGTCCAAGCAATTAAGTTATAAAGAACAGAATAATAGTGTTGCCACATTCATGTAGTTATAAGGCAAATGGTTGATTTGTCAAATATCAATTATGGATTGTTTCATTATAAATACTGGAATGATCATACTGGATGGTTGTACAATAAGCAAAATTTGCCTTAGGGCCTGTTTATATGGAAGCCGGGCTGGCCAGCTTAGCAAGACAGCCCGGTAAGCGGGATGAATTTCTCTCGTGTTTATATGAGAAAATTTCATCCCGCTTGCCGGGACAATTTTGTTACATTGTATTGTTTTGACAGTTGTTAAAAATAGCTTGCGGCGGTATCTTTGAACTTTCATCCCGGCAACCAGCCTAGCCTGCTTGTGAGTGTTTATATGGAGAAATTTCCATCCCGGTAAGCGAGATCTCGCCTCTTTCAAGCGAGTCCATATAAACGCACAATAATTTTTACTATAAAAATAACTACACAGCGAGATCTCGCTTACCGGGCTGTCTCACTTAGCGGGCCAGCCCGGCTTCCACATAAACAGGCCATATAAACAGGCCATGTAAATTTAGTAAGCCAGTATCTAGGCTGGCTAGCTTGCATTACATATAAAACATCCCCTATAATCCTCAATAGTTGGAAAAAATTAAGAAGTAAAACAAATCTAGAATGAAATATATTTCCCTTCAATATATGCAATTTGTAGTTAGTTGTATATATAGGCACAAAAATGGCTGAAATAGTTTAAAATTCAATACAATGTCATTGTGTTGACATGAAAATATTCTGTTTTTGTAGCCATGCATAGGTGTTAATTTAAACCATGAGATGCTCAATCGTATGAACTATGAATGCAGATTTGCAGTGGTGTAGTGGCATAGACTTGTCTATATGTAAGATATATTGAGCATTAATTGCATGGTTTAAATTAACACCTATGGCTACAAAAACAGTTGGTAGAATATTTTCATGTCAATACAATGACATTTTATTGAATTTTAAACTATTTCAGCCATTTTTGTGCCTATATATACAACTATAACTACAAATTGCATATATTGAAGGGAAATTTACTTAATTTTTTCCAACTATAGTAGGATTATAGGGCATGTTTATATGTAATGCAAGCCAGCCGAGATACTGCATGGCTTTATAGTGGCTTACTTTACTAAGGCAAATTTTGCTTATTGTACAACCATCCATGCAGTATGAGCATTCCAGTGTTTATAATGAAACAATCATAGTAGCTAGATATTTGACAAATCAACCATTTGCCTATAGAACTACATGAATGTGGCAACACTATTATTCTGTTCTTTATAACTTAATTGCTTGGACAAAAATGGGAAAGTACAAAACATGGACCCCTTGTCTGGACCGGGTATAGTAGCTAGATATTTGACAAATCAACCATTTGCCTATAGAACTACATGAATGTGGCAACACTATTATTCTGTTCTTTATAACTTAATTGCTTGGACAAAAATGGGAAAGTACAAATCATGGACCCCTTGTCTGGACCGGGTCCATGGACCCCTTGTCTGGACCGGGTCCATGGACCCCCGCTCCATGGACCAGATCCATGGACCCCCTCCATGGGTCGCATTTTTCCAAATTTCAATATTACTGTTAAACATGATTCGAGTTTTCAATTTTTAAAAATATTTTAGTGGTTTTAAAGCATACTTTTGTTCTTAGCAGCAAACCTCATCT